ACTGATTGATAGGACTGAACCGTGACTAGTGAAAGAGTATCAACTAAGGAATGAATCAAGAAATGGGCGATGTTTTTTGATCTGTCTCTTAGAATCGGTAAATAAACTCCAATTGCCCTTCTCCATCAATATGCCTTCCAGGCATAGCTCACAGCTCCAAAAGTCTGTGACACACCTGATAAACGCCTCTTCAGCCGTCTGACAATTAACAGTCGCTGTTACAGAAGTCATTTGACAAATGAAAAATCACTAAACTCAATATCTACCACCTCTGTAGGGCCATCATAGTTTGCTGTTATCCCAAAGCGCTACTATGGAAAGAAATTTCACATACCTCATGAAGCTTCCCTGTAGTGGTATCATACGCACCCTTCGCAGAATCTCCAACCCATGTGGCACCCTGAAATGAGAAAAGTTGAGGGGCGACACAGGCGCGATGACATCTAAGATTTCCTAATGCCACTGTCTTGGTGGGTCGACCCCTCGCCTAAAACAAAAGCTGGGGACAATGATCGGGAACTACCTCCGATAGTTTTTCTGTAGCAGTCTCGTAGGCACTTTTTGCAGTGTCTCCGACCAATGAAGCGCCCTTAAAAAAGACTAAACTTATCGCAGAAAGAAAAATAGCTCGGTGAATTTCGCTTAGAACAATACAAAATTTCATTGTCACTTCATTTCTAGAAGAGATAACACTCTACTTGATGGGAACACCTGATTCTTTCGGAAGCAAAAGCGAACAAATACATGCTTCAAGCCCATGAAACCTTTTATTAAAGGGGCCGACTTCATACAGTAGGTGTTTCATAAGCTGAAGATCACCCTCTCAATCAAAAAATAGAAACACCATTGTGCTATGATAAAGGGCAGAGCAAGGAATTTTCAGCGCGCGTGCACGTCGTCCAAAACCGGACAAACCTTGGGTCTTGATCATGAAAAACTGTGTTCATGGTTACATACCAGAGCTTTATTAAATTTCAGACTTTTACAGTTGTCAAGACCAACTACTACTTTCCCTGAGAACAATTCAACCGCCCGCTTCCACAATGATAGGCGTTAAAGCCAAGCTTTTCATCTGATGAGGGGCGTAACACAAGAGTATCACAAAAATGAAAGACAAGGTCTAACCTCCGCTAGTTTTCCAGTAGTTGTGTCTAACGCTCCCTTAGCGGATTCGCCGACCCACGAAGCGCCCTGAAAGAAAAAGAAAGTGAAATTACGATGGAGAATGTAGTATTTTCAACTAAGACTGAGAAGGGAGGGTTATTTCAGCTAAAAGGAACATCGTTAGCTAGAGAAGAAGAATCAAAGAAAAAGAAGAGCAACAAAATAACAAGTATGCATGGTACAGTTCACACGTATTCAACTTAATCCTAGGACTTCAAATAGTTAGTGATGGATTAGTTCTTTTAACAAAATTAAGAAAAAAAANAAAAAAAATCCCATTCACAAATTTAAAGCTACAAGCGGTGATTGTGTTAGATGATTTACTGCATGTACTGCCTACTCACTGATGAAGTGTTTCAACTTACCTCAGACAAAGCCCCAGTAGTCGCATGGTATGCGCCCTTGGCCGAATCGCCAAGCCATGAAGCGCCCTTAGAAGGCGAGTATAAGGTTTCGGTAGACTATTTCGCGAAAGGCATCGAAATTCAAGCGGGATTCAAAGAATTCGAGCACGTTAATTTGAAACTATACTCGAAAAACTAATTGAGGACCTCTTCGAAAAAATCGATTTCAATGCCTCCAGAAACCGTCATAAAGCAGAACGTAAAATCAGTCAAACGGGGAAATGGAAAAAAGGTCTCAAGGACTGATGAGACCGCTCTTCATATCCCTGCACAACAAAAGTGCCTAGAAGACAGTTTGCTGTTTTTGTGATTTGATACTATGTCTACTCATTACTGAAGTTACCGCTCAAATATTGAGAGAGGTTAACGAGTGTTATGACTATGAAAATTTGGTTAACTAACCTCGGAGACTTTGTCAGTGGTAGTATGTAGCACATCTTTGACACCCTCGCCGAGGTGGCTAGCTTTTTCCTGAGTCGCCGATGAAAGGTCCGACACAGTTTCCTTTGTCTAAATAAATAGATTGAAGATTAAAAAAACTAAATCAGGAAAGGAAAAAAACCTAAATAATCAGTGAAAGTAAACAAAATATTGGAAATGTGGCACCTTGTCATATGCCGAGACTGTGGTATCTTTGACTCCTTCCAGTGCACTTCCGACAGCTCCAGTCTGAAAAATGAGACTTTTATATTGGGCCGAACAGTGCCAGAAAACGGCAGTTGAAAAAATCTCCCAAGATCTCAATATGACCCTATACAACCCAATTTCACAATCAGTGATAGACAACAAGGTGACTATAGGCACGAAGTTGTGGCCTGACTAGGGTTCTCATCTTACTTTTTGGCTATAGGTGCCGCTACGCAAAGACACCAGAAGTATGATTTGAACACTGATCCAAAAGTACGGCCATATAAAAACTTTCTAGAATAGACGTAGACGAACAGACGAAGAGTAGACGAACAAAGGCGATACATTCATTGATTGAAATATCCATTAGGACTCATTTCATGATTTACTCTTTTTCCCCTTAATTTTAGAACAGTGGGCAGTTCCGCAAAAAGCCTGAACGCTGCCAGAACAAAGTACTACCCGCGATGAGCATGATCTAGGACATAGTATAAAAGGAAACATAAAAGCATAAAAGGAAACAATGGTGTCTTAAAAAACAAGTAATAAGATACACACGGTACAGAGATATGGTAAGGTAATAGCCTGAATAAACAGTCAAAATACTCAAAATTATGATAGGGCAAGATGAATGGTTTCAAAACTAACCGCTGATTCGGCAACATGACCGATTTTCTCACCAACACCTGAGACTGCACCTTTGACTGAATCGAAAATTCCAAAAGCACCAGCCTGCATGGCATAATGGAAATGTTAATGTGACTACAATATTCCCTTCGAAGGCTGCAGAGTAACACTTACCTTAGCTTCTTTGCCGGCTTTTTCCGCTTCATGTGAGGCGTGCTCGAAAGTGTCGTGTGCATGGTCCTAAATGAAACTACAGGGTGGGCCAAAATTATGATTACACAGATATCACATCCCCGAAAACGAATAGAAAGCTAAAAAAGCAAACCAATTTCATAGAAGTGTCTATCACTAATCTCTTATCAAAATAGTACATTGAGACTGGGATCTGTTGCTTTCTGCTTTCACCCAACCCCAGAGACGATGATGGACAACATTGACGGTGGCACGCAGCTATGGTCATCGAAATGGTCCCGGCTTTTTGCTAAGCATTTTTGAGATTATTTCTTCTCCTGTTTGGGCTAAAGGATGCTTTCAACTCAGAGGCTGACCACATTGAGACATTCATGGGATTTAGGTCAGGGTTCCAGTGTGGTCACTGATCGAAAGTTATGAAGTCAAAGAACCCCATTCACGAAATTTCTAGACAATTTCTGTTCTGTGGTCA